GCAATAAAAAAATGATATTAAAATGATTTTGAAAAGCCCCTTAGTCACATGATAAAAACGAAACTGAAGCTATGATTATAATTAACTTCCCGTAGGGCAAGTTATAGTAATCGCAAAAAAATCGAAAATGAAAATTTTTATATATCTTTACGTTTAAAACCTTCTGAACATTTTGGCATACCTTAGAAAAAATGGATGTCTGTGTGTATATGCGTGTGTGTGTGTGTGTGTTCGGATACAATTTTTTGTCGACGATTTCGGGAACACGGATGAAGCGATTTGAATAATTCAAAAAACATTCGATTCGTATTGATAAGAAAACGTGCTGATTAGTTTTTAGCGAAGGCAGGTCTAGCCGTTTCAAAGATATGGGGCAAAAAGTGCCAAAAACGGTAACTCAGTTTTTAAGAGAACGGAGCGTCCGATTTGAATGATTCAAAAAACATTTTACTTGTATTAACAAGGCAAAGAACTCAAATTTTCATGAAGGCAGGTCTAACGGTTTCGGAGATCTAGTAAAAAAGTAAAAAAAAAAATGCCATTTGACGGTCAAAAATGATCATTAGACATATGCACATCATATTATCAGATATTTTATAGAGATTGTAACAATAAGTATAAATTTTGTTTACATTCCTATGGGTTCCGTACCGTACAATGTTTATCCATTAGACGGCGACGTAGCGCTTACGCGCTTCGATATTTGTTATTATGCAGTTAAAGCAGTACGATTGCTTTGAAAAAAGTTCAGGATTTCCAAAATATTTCAAAATAAATGATTTAAGATAGAATGATTTAATATGGTTCGAAATTCTATTAAAAGTTTCAAATCATTGATCAACTTTTATTGATTATTATTGATTATTTTTAATTTGATAAGGCACGATGCCTTAATTGCCTTAAGACAGAATTCCACTTACAGCTAGTTTTTATGTGATCAGTGATAATAGTTAAATTTTGATTCTTATATTTGAAATCTAATTGTTGTATAAATGCTGTCCTGTTTCACCCACATACATTCCATGGCAGTCTTTAAAATTGTATATAATTTTGTATGCTTTTAATGTTTTGTCTATACTTGTGGGTGATTTCAACC